GGCCTGCCCGTCACGTGAACCGCCTTTTTGGCAGAATTCTCTGCACAACATGCACAACGCCCAACACCAACCACACGCACTCAGGCAGGGTAATATCCTCGTAGAGGGTCTGAGGCACCTGAGATAACCCACCTGCGCGTCTCCTCGACTTCTGCTGCATATCTCGTCTGCAAAACACCCGGCCAACAACGCAAGAAGCGCCAGCTCCCGTCAAGTCGTTATCAGGTTGTGACAGTTCTAAGCTACTACAGAGTCTATTTGCATACCGAAGCTTGGAGCATGAAGCGACGCATCGAGGATAGCGCAGACCAGAATCATAATGCCGAGGGTGAGCCTGACTCCTAACAAGATAGCTCCGTTTTCCTTGTAGATGGAGTTTTCAATTTACCCTTCTGACACGAAGAAGTTTCCAGGTTGGAAAGCCTTTCTGAAAGAGTGCCCACTGGCGAAGAACGATCCCAAATCCAACCACGAAAGAAACGTGCGATATTGCAAGCGCGCCCAGAAGAAACGCAGATGGCGCAAGGAATCGACCATATGGATCTAGTGCGCAGCACCAACGCGTTGTCTACATCAGATTTCCAGTCTCGTTTTCTGCCCCAAGAATCACGTCTCCTCAGCTTTACCCCCCACGCCGGGGTAGGACTAGACAAACCAGCAAACAATCTCACAATATCATTCAAAGCGTCGTCGGAGATGAGCGACGCAGACCTTGAAGGTTGCTTTTCACTGGTTGAAGAGACGTCTTCAGAAGCCTATAGGAAGTCCGTCGTCCGTTGGAGGCCCAAGGCGAAGAAAGAAGAGATGCGAGATCCAGATATGCGATATCTCATCGTCCGCGTGGCAGATCCGCGCCACGATGCTTCTTTCTCAGCCCACTCGAATCTTCCTGTCAATGGCTTTCTTTCCTTTATGATCACTCACGATGATGACTACGAATATGCCGTTCTCTATATATACGAAATCCACTTGTCGGAAAGCCTCCGGGGCTGCAGAGTTGGAGCTCACCTGATGCACATTGCAGAAACAATCGCGCAAGGAATTGGCCTCGCGGAGGTCATGCTCACAGTTTTCACGAGCAACGTCGCCGCTGCCAAGTTCTATCAAAAGCTAGGTTTCTCGAAGGACGGGACAAGTCCAGAACCAAGAGTTCTAAGGAACGGTCTAGAAAAGCCGCCGGACTATTTGATTATGTCCAAGGACGTCAAACCCTTCACGCAACCTTCGACAAACGGAACTATCTCCGTCTGATCGGCTATCAATCCGATCAAGCATAGCAACACTGCTCCATGTCACCTAGGATACCCAGTCGAAGATTACCAGCTGCATTGTTCAGGATCTGGCGAACGTATGCTGGTCGATTGAAACGTCGGGTAGCATCACCTGTGCCTGCGATCTATAGCTTTGCAGCAAGCCTGCGTTCGACGTCTTTCGGTCCCACGAATGATAGTCGCCAAAGCCTTGCCGTTGGTATTGTCTTTGGCATGAAAGGGAAGGCCTCTAGACAAAACAAAGGAAGTTAAATTGATACCCATTCTAACCAATAAGACTAAACACTACGATTGTGCGATTCTTTGAGCCATGCTCATTACTAAGCATACGTGAAAGAAAATGCAGAAAGTCGAACAAACAAGTTGTTACTTGATCTTTGAACTCACATATTTAGTTAACGTGTGTCTCTTCCACACACCTATCTTTCCGAAGATACGACCACACCACTCACTTCAACCTTCGACAGCTACACGTTTCACGACAATTCTCCAATCGTTCTCACCCACCACGCTGATAATGTATACCAACCACTTAGTCTTTACCGCCTTAGCTGCGTTGTTCAGCATCAGCACGGCGGATCCAACATGTGCAGCTGGACAGGCTGGACCTCCTCAAAAGTCCCAAGCCCCAGGTCCGCCTGGTGGAGTGTATATGTGCACTGGCTCCAATTGGTCGGGACAGTGCCAGTATGTTCAATCCATTCCAGGGCAGTGCCACCCTCTAGAGCCTCCATTCTACCGATCGACCTCCTCTATTGGCCCAAATCCCACGACACATTGCTGGTTCTGGGACAATGATAAGTGCACAGCGGGTGACGCAGCAAATCCTAACCCGTACATCAACCTAGTCTATCCAGGTAACCCTGATTTACTAGGTCAGGGCTGGAAAGATAGGGCGCAGAGCTTCATTTGCGACATCTATTAGAGACATTTTGGATTCTTCATCAATATTTCTCTTCTTCTAACTTCAATAATACCACTGTGTTCCCATAATGATGTCAATGTTCTTCTCATAATCTCATCGCCCACAATTGTGAATGTGTTTTTGAACATTTATCGTGTACTTCGATCATCTCTACACTTGCGTAGGCCGTCCCAAACCTACGTGAAGTTCTCTCGATCGCATGTTGAACCATGTGGCAGTTCGAAGGCTATACGCGACGTGCGTCTGATCCTCGATATAGATAAATCCAAATACGGTCAGAATACTGGGCTCAGAGCCGCACTACCAAAGGTCAGTAACGTTCCCTTCCACTGATTGTAATGTATACTCACCCGGAAGTCCTTCCCGTCTCCTCTTCGCAAGGCTTAGAGTAACAGCCCCCACTCCTGCTGAATCTGGTTGAGCAGCCTAAACCCTGCATACTGAGCCGCCTGACGGGGTCCTGCAATCGCCGCTGTTTGCAAGATGGCGAATAGTCCTCCCGCTGGTCCAAGGACCGCATAAGAGCGGATTGCAGAAGCAACCACCACTGTGTGTGTCAGCATTGAACATAGCCTCACATAAAGATAGGTGACATCTGGAAGGATATTTTGAAGTCTTACTTGCTCGAGTGCGGCTCATTCCCAATGTGAGGACCCAGAAGGGTCCCATCATCGCGCCTGGGTATAGTATCAGGACGGCTCTGGCGATGTAAACCGTAGTGCGGATTGGGTGTTCGACGACATATCTTGCGACCGGAGTAGTGGTGGCGCGGTAGGCTTTCACTACTCGCTTCTTCACTGCTTTGTACGCGCGGCGGACGACAGATAGCATGTTGGTGAGAGTGATGGTGGTGAGCTATCTGCGGCGGTGAGTCCGAAAAGCCGCTGGCTCTGCTGTTGTGTTGTTGTGTCTACGTGAGGAATGAGCTTCATGAAAACAACACTCCTTGTCGAGCTAGTCCGCCTCTATCCGCTCAGTTATACCACCATCTTGTCGCATTCACCGCTCGCTAGCGGGCTATCGGACAAACAACTCCTCTGACTGGAGCCGCTTAGCACGTCAACAGCATCACGCCTATCGAGCCTCACTCGCCAATTCACCACAACTACCTCATTCATCGAATTCTCTAAAGATGGGTGACTTCTTCGGTCAGGTGTGGGCCTCGCTTGACGGCTTTGGACAAAAAATGGGCAAGCATGTCGAACCCGCGCTCGGAAATGCTTGGAAGGCAGCCGATGGCCTTGGACAGGAAGTCGGCAAGCACGTCGGCCCTGCTATTGAAGAGGCCTGGAAGAACGCCGGTGGCTTCGGACAGGAAATGGGCAAAAGAGTCGGATCTGCGATTGGAGAGGCCTGGAAGGCAGCTGATGAATTCGGTCAAGAAGTTGGACAGTAAGTTGGAGAAAAGATAGGCCAGCTTTTGCAAGCCGACTTGGGAGCTGCCTCTGGAGAAGTAGTCGGCTGGATTCGGGAGCATCCACACCAGACAGGATTCCATGTCGTAAGCGGAGTCGCATTGCTCGTACCAGCATAGTGACTACGCCAGTGCTAAGCACCTTGGGATGGAGTGCTATGGGTCCCCGAGCAGGTATATATCCACAATCGCCGAAAAACTTTGCTTTGTAGCAGTGCATTTCACTGACTGTCCTCATTCAGCTTCTATAGCAGCTGCATTGCAAACAGCCTCTACTCCTGCCCGAGGCGTGTTTGCCACATTGCAGAGTGCCGCCATGGGGGGATATGGCGCTTCAGTTGTTGCTGGTGCGACTAGATTAGTCGTTGGTGTGGCCACATTCATCAGAGCGGCCACGCCGAAGCCTCGCCAAGAGCGCGAAAAAGACACGCAGCGGGAGGATAGTGGTCGAGACGACGATGAAGATACGTTCTATCGGGCAGCTAAAAGGTAGTCAAATGGCTGCTACTAGAGTCCGACTGAGCAGTTTCAATCCGAGCGCATCAGCAAGACCTCCCTCCAATCTACATCAGCTTCCTCGTTAGGTTCAACATTGGTGTCCTGGTTCGAAATCCTCCGCACCTGTGTAAGCATCCTGAATCCGACCCACAACTCTCAAGATCACGGCACACCGGAATTCCTCTCAGCTACCGCGACATCGATCAGTCCTGCCGGTATTACAGAGGAGCCTTTCAAAAGTTTTTGCCCGCCAAGATCAACCCCTGCAGCGCCAAGGGTATAAGCGAGACTATTAGGGCTCTCTGTTTAAGGACTACTCCTTTTTAGGATGTTCAAATTTTATAAAACTTGGCAGACTCTCTTTTACAACATATAAGAGTATCCGCAAGCTATTTAAGAGACAATTTGTGGATGATTGGATCGCACGATATTTTGATGCTCCTGTCGGTTGCAGGGGTAAGCTCACTAGCGCGGCAAGAACTTTTGAAAGGCTCCTCCGTACGTAGCCGATAAATATATCCGACTGAGGTGAATGATAATAGAACATGGACATCCACTACATATGCACTGTAGACATGAGTGAACCACAAATGTCCCTGCCATGAATTGCAAGATGCGCGAGTATAAAGAGAACAAGGAGACAATGGGAAGATGATAAGGTCGTTATGTACCGGACATCGAGGTACCTGAGTCCGGGGAAGCACGGATCGGCCCGAGATCTGTGGCACTAGGCGACTAGGTGCATATCCCCTCAGTAAATTTCCCAACTCCGGTGCGATCTGCTGAATTCTCTGAAGCCAGTGTCGGGATAGGAGCCGGCTTGCATGATTGCGTAGGGTTTTCGGAAGGTAGCATGCAAGCCCAATTCAGCACAATGAAGCTCCAAAATTCTTTCATATACTCCCTCTTCGTCCTGTTAGCAATTTCAATCCTCAAAATTTCTGCTCAGTTAAATTCAAACTCACCGCCCTCTCCGCCTTCGACGGCGCATCGCGCCTGGAGTGCTGGGCTCTCGACTCGATTCCCAAGATAGGTCGAGGTGCAGCAAACTATGACATAGGCAATTTCTCAAACGCATTCATTGGCATTCTTCCACCCCGAACCTACGCAAACTCGACAATAAGCCATGCGACGGTCGTGCAGTACGTCCTCCTCCATTTACCTCCCCCAAATGCATTCGCCTCTCCACCATGTAATCCAAGTCTCACCTACACCAGGTTCTCCATCTTCCTCTCCGGCCTCGCACACATCCGTATCCCCAACTCCACACTTCCAGCTTCTGAATCCGAGGCATGGATCCGGGTGGGAAATATAGGTTTTTGCTTGCAGCAGACACACCTAACAGAGCGCCGAGAGCGGGCCATATTACCGAGTTTCCGGGGCAGGATGAGACGGTGATTCTGCAATTTCCGACGGAGGGGAACAGGATTCCACCGCATGAGTTACTGCATGCGGGACCGTGTAGGTTGGATGAGCTTGTGGGGTTGTGAGTCGGTTGACGGCTTCGTGGTGCGGAAATGAAACTTCGGGATAGAAGCATTTCGGTATAACGTTCTATGACAGTTCAGCGAATACAAAAATGGAACTTGTTGACAAGAAACCGCTGAGATATAGATGTAGGGGTCGAATGGTCAAACTTTTTGTCCTATCCACATATTTACAGCCTGAGGTTCTCTATACGAAACGCTAAATAGACATCGACACCGAAACTCCAGAGGATAGCGCGCATTGCACGACGTGGGAAGCCCCTCTATGATGGCTAGGGCGAGATCAGGATCAACACACGCTGGTGTCCCTCTTACGGCAGCCTGCCGACTGTGTTGGGTCCATCCAAGGCGTCTCCATTGGTGGCAGAGCCATTTGAGTATCCCTTAGGTTCATTGACCTTACCCAACCAGCCGAAGGTATCGTCGATCTTGCCTTGTTGGATGCCCTTGAGGGTAGTAAGCAGCTTGACGCAGACAGGGCCTAGTTCGTCAGACCCGTCGCGATACACGAACTTGTCTCCCTTCGACTCCATAGTGATGGACTTGATTGGCACAAGAGCAGCAGCGGTACCGGCAGCCAAAACCTCAGAAAAGGAGGGCAGTTCGGCGTATGGAATCTTAGCGTGTCAGCTTATCTGACTAGACTGCTCACAAATCGCTCGATAGACAGGACAATGCTTACCGACCGAGCTTCAACCTTCCAGCCGAGAGACTTCGCAATCTCGCAGATGCTGTCTGCTGTGACACTCTTGATGACGTTCTTACTGTCCGGTACGACCAGTGTGTAAGATTCACCGTCTTTCTTCACACCGATGAATCCAGACGTGGAGAACTCATCGATCTCACTCCTAGTCTTGCTGTCTAAATGGAGTGTGATTCCGTAGCCGTCATGATGCGCCTTCTCGCTCCACTTCAGAACTGGAGCATAGTTGCCTCCAACTTTGGCTGACCCAGTTCCTTCAGGAGCGGCACGGTCGAATGACTCTAGGATGAGCGCATCGACGGGTTTTGTGCCGTGGTATACGCCAGTAGGCAGGACATACACGCAGAAAGTATACTCCTCAGGCGGGTTCAGCCCTAGCTGAGCGCTTGATCCGAATAGCAGAGGCCGAATATACATGGCAGCGCCGGTCTCATGCGGCGGCACGAAAGCCGCGTTCAACCCAACAGCCAGATGGATGCTTTTTAGAAAGTGATCGCTCGGGACACCTGGGATGGATATGTAGGAGGCCGAGTGTTGCATGCGCTCTGCGTTTTGGACGGCTCGGAAGATGTTGATTTCGTTGGTGGGAGAGCGAAACGCTTTCATGCCTTCGTAGCATTGCTGGCCGTAGTTGAGACCCGGCGCCATGCCGTGGATGCGGAGGAAAGGGTCCTGGATGAACTCGGGCTCAGTCCATTTGCCAGACTTGACGCTGTAGTGGGACTCGACATGGCCATTGACTGAGGTAATTGGTCAGCCTGAGGTGTTCAGAGGCTACCGCTCCAATGTTATTGTCTCCGTCTTTCCATCTCGAATGTCGCTCATCCTATTCCGTGACTGAAGGATTGAGGGTCGACATGGTCGCCTTTTGGAGGTCGCGTGTTCGGGGCTGTACGAAGTATGGAATGGCAAGGACGTCTGCTCACCTTCTCGAACTTTGAAGCCCACATTGTTCCAGTCTACAAGGAATTGAGTGGTCAGTACAATTCTTAAGGTACGGGACGGCGGGGCAATGCGAGTCGGGAGGGTTGTTGCGTACCAATTGTGTCCACGGGCGGGGGCGGAAACGAGGCTGCCATGGTGCTTCTCGAGGAGCGGTGTGAGTGCAAGCGGAAGGGATGCGTGGTGATATATGTAGTGCTCCGCGACAAGTGCTCAGTAATTTTGGGTTGTAAAAAGCACAGCGACATCGGCGGCGGCCAAAGCTAGCCCTTGCATGAATGCCGGGGCACGGGGTGCCCTAGCGCGAATCGTCAGGCCAGATTCCGTGTTGGAGCCGCTGCATGGCGAGACTATGCTGCGACACGAGGGTGAGCTCTTTGTCTTCGGTCCGTGGACCACAACTCGGCAATAACCTTCTCTATAACCTCCGCCGTGCCATTTCCACACTGCGTTGGAAGCTTTCCTCCATCTCTGGCAGATAAACCCCACGATTCCACCAGTCCTTGAAATGGGCGCAAGTCGTCGTTTCACGCTCCTCCTGGTGCTCGCGGCAGCCATCCTGTCCATCCTGTTTCTGACTTCGCTTCGGGACTCGAACGGGAGCGGAAGTCCTGCTACAGTTGTCCCGGCACATTTAGAGCCAGCAGACAGCTCCATACTCAGTGGTCATGCGATCGCACCTAAGCTGGGCAATGCCACCGCAAAGTACGTCGAGAGCAGCAAACTTCTCTCGAAAACGCCCCACACCCTCCGCGTGATCAGATTGCGATGCTAATGTGTTTGGCTTCCAGGGCAGAACTGGGTCGCGCCGCTTGGAAAGTGCTGCACACCACCTTTGCGCGGTTCCCCGTCAAGCCGACAAAAGACGAGAGCGAAGCGCTGCGGCAATACGTCCATCTCTTCCAGAGACTATACCCATGGTAGTCTTCCTCCCCAGCGGGCAATACCTTAGCTTATGAGACGACTGCAGTGGAGAATGCGCCGAGCACTTTGGCAAAGTCCTTGCCAAATACCCACCCCAGGTGTCGTCACGGTCCGCCGCTGCGACATGGGGCTGCTACGTGCACAACATCGTGAACAAGCGACTACACAAGCCCGAGTATGATTGCGAGCAGATAGGGGACGCGTACGACTGTGGATGCGCGGACGACGAGAAGCAGGACTCTGCAGAGAAGCCGGTATCGAGCGAGCAGAAGAAGCAAGCACCGGTACATCAATAACGACGCTATCTCAAGCAAAACTTGGTGGAGGGTGGTCGCGCCCGCGCATCGACTGGGCAATCCGTATCTACCGATTCCCAGGAATATACGGCTCCAGAGGGCAAGGCGGCGGATGATTTGATTGATCAGCGGTCCGCAGTGTCCCGATGACCCGCGGCAGGTTATAGGTCATGCCAGGTCTCCCAGATACGGCTCTGAGATGCAGCGATGGGTGATGAATGATGTGGGGAGGATTGCGGCAGAGGCACCGCCGCACACCAACTGAGACACTGCTATAGCTGCGAATGAGACAACCGCACGCCTGGCCAACAAGCCGCAGCAGAACTAGGGGGGGGGACAGGCTTCCTGTTAATAGGGCGATACCTCGAGATATGTGGCCATGAACTTGCGACACCAGCAGCCCCAGGGGTAGTGCTCCGTCTGCGCGAGGCGGCTAATATACAGCTCTCTACTCCGTACCTCAGCTCGATGCGGTATCCCCAAAGCGCATCTTGCTGGCCTTCCCCTTAGCGATGACCTCCAACTGCTCAAGACTGCTGGAGCTGCTGAGTGGCTCTGCCACGGACCGGGGCTGCACACCCTCGGCGCGCCCACAAGCTCGCGCGGTCTCTCGTGACCTATAATTAACCCTGATATGCTGGCGACGCGATCTCGCATGCAGCAAGGGCGCGTTGCCTTGGCCAGGGGGAGTTGGCGCGCGTGTGGCTTGCTGGCGCAAAATAGACTGGCGCCCATGGCCAGCGTGAAACAACACCAACACGTCCCCAAACCACAGCTCCCCCTCGTCCCCGCCGCAATCGATAGAAGACCAGACACGGGGCATCCATCCCTTCGCTGGCCTCACCGCTGCCTCATTGCTTCCTCACCACCCGCACACCGCTCTTTATTTGCATTCGCCCACTCCCGCAAGCATAATCATGGTCTCGTTCTCCTGTGAGGTATGCCGCTCCCCACGGGCCATCCGTTCTCCGCGCTCCATTGGCCCCTCGCCTCCTGGAATGCCATGAAGCTGACCAGCCCTCGCTTTGGATAGAACTGTGGAGACGTCCTCACCAAGAAGAAGCTGGACCCGCACCGCAACCAATGTCGTGGCGCCTCCTTTACCTGTATCGACTGCATGGTGCACTTCTACGGCACCGAATACCGCGCCCACACTGTAAGTCTCGCGCTGAAGTCTCTTCACCTCGTGGTTGTGAAAACAACAACAACAACAATCTCGACAACGACGGTCCTGCATTGCCGCCAAATCCGCATTCGCTGAGTGGCCAGGGCTAATCCGCTGCCCAATAAACAGAGCTGCATCAGCGAAGCGCAGAAATATCAGGGCGCACTGTACAAGGAGAAGAAGGCAAAGCTGCAGCAACAACAGAAGGCCTCGCAGGCGCTCGTGCCGCGACAGGCATACGTCGAAGATGCCGTTGACCCAGACAGCGGCGCCGTTGCCATCGTCGACGCCCCTCCTCACGCCCCAAGCCCTCCGCCAGCCGCCTACTATGGCGAGCAGGGGGCTCTACCTTCGGTCAATGTCTTCGAGTTCCTCGTCGATTCAGACACACCCAACGCTTCGAAGGTCGCCTTGCCGCCGCCAGAAGAATCCCGTATGATTGAGAACAACAAGCATCAGGGGGATGAGCACCACAGGTCTAGCTCAGACTTGGTCCGCGTGAATGCGCTTGACTTCCAGATGGATGACGAGGACCGAGACTACCACTACGTCGAAAATGGCTTTGCGTACGGCACAGAGCCTGTGCCTCCTACATTTGGGCGCTACGATTCGTACGCCAATGCTCCTCAGCATGAACCGGTATTCCACGACTCGGCATACTACACCCCTGCGCCCAAGCCCAAGCCAGAACGCGACCACAAACAGGCCCGCGAGAGAGAGACGACGACTGTGTCCAAGCAGTCCGACAAGAAGCGCAAGAGGTCGGATGTCGGGCAACTCGATATGTCCCTCGTCCGAGCGCAGGCTGAGCGAGATGTGACCATGGCGGGTACGCCTCCTATTCTTCACTCGGGCCTCACAGGAGGCCTCAACAGGCTGCTGGCTCGTGCGGATTTCCCTCCCAGTCCCGATTATTCCGGTGCCGAAGCTTCCCCATTGAGCCCTATGAAACGGGCAAAACAGGGTACATCCAAAGCCCTTGCACGCGCCCAGCGCCAGTACGAGGAAGACGAGAAACGTGAGCGGGAAGCAAAGCTTGAGCGACAGAGGGAGAGAGGCCGAGATCGCGAACCCAAGCCTCGCAAGACGTCCAACGGCACTGTTAAAGAGATCAATGGGACCAGGGCTCTTGTTCGTAGCAAGCGCGAAAAGTCTGGTCGTGAAGAGCGCCGTCGCCGTCGTCGCTCGTCGTCGTCGCCTTCTCCTGAACGCAAATCGAAGCCGATGAAAGCGATTGAGTATTCCCGTGCCGACTCCGAGTCGCCTGCGCCTGAAGTCAACGGCAACGGAGCGGTGGTACTACACAGCAACGGCAACGCTTTCCCCAAGGATTTGGGTGCCCGCGCAGAGCTCTTCATGTCATTCATCAACAAAGGACCCGAGTCCGAGCGTGGGTGTAGCGTAAACAAGGTACTGAAACGTTATCACCGCGAGCGTTACGATCGCTGGGATCGGGAGCTAAGCAAGCCTGACGAGGAGAAGGAGCTCTGGAAGAGTCTCCGGTTGAAGCGGAACGACAGAGGGGAAATCGTGCTCTTCGTCTAGCGATACCATCATGATTTTCTATCTCATTCGGGGCGGAGTCTGATACCACGTTGATGGTGATCACATGAGATGGAAGGGTGGACGGATCTTCGAACTTGGATGATACCCCGATTCCTTTGGCGAGCTGCTTGGTTTGGTGAACGTTGCGGATTAGAGCTCATCTCAGCCTCTACATTATACGGCCGCATACTCGTGTTCCTTTTTTCTTTTTCGCGTTTCATCAGGTCGTCGCAATCTTTTCTTCTCTTTTAACATCTACGTAATGCTCTGGGCTGGGCCCGGTCCTGTCCTTGGGTTTCATGTGTATATTTTCTTGTTAGCCTATTTCTCAAATGAACTATTCAGGGCCTTAGCCGTCCGTCACCTAAGATTCTGCTTAGAGAAGCGAAGGTATAACCCATGTTCATGTTCTTATCAAAGGTTGACATCACGAATATCTAGTTTCCTAGCCTTCCGCATGATGCATTCCACGGGCGTAGATAGTCGTGACCGGTGGGTTCTCGTCGACCGGTGTACGCAGCTCTTTATTCACAGTTGTTCTTTCGGCTATCGTGCTGGGTCTTAAGCACTGTTGCATTGGTCCAATAGAGTGGAGGAATATGCGAGGGTGCAGCTGCAGATGGTCAATATCGACAACCGGGCGCCTCCACAGACCCACCAGTTCACCGGAAAGTTTCAGGCTAGAACGAGGAAGTGCTATTGGTCGACTTTTGGGTACGTACTGCACGACCCTCAATGGTCTAAGCCACCACCCAACGACACTCGTTAAGGCCAACGGCTGATCCTTGACAGAATGGATGCCCGACCCCACGAAAGTGTTGGACTATCATGGATCTTTGCGTGCAAGTGGTGGACATTCGCTGACATTGTAGAGCGCGCCGCGGTAAGGCTGAAGGTCGAGAGGCGCACTTCGCTGGAGCCTGTGGGAAGGCTCGATGACTCTTCCCAGATGACACAGACAGAAACAGAATATGGACTATTCAGAGGTGGGCTGGAACTGGCGAAACAAGAAAACTATTACGTTATGTTTTCGCGCAAAGTCCATGTTCGACTTGATGGCTGATAATGCCTCACGGATCGGGCCTAACCCAGTAAGTATGTACTTGGTAGGTAAGGCTGAGACCCCATAGTGCGGAGTCTCCACTCACTGTTCGACAGTTCTTCTCTGCGGGCCGCACCACCACGGCATGCATCTCGGTGGCGGGTCAGCGTGCTTTATTTCCAGTCTTTTGGGTGGCGCACGTCAGGCTCCCCTGCAAACGGGTCAGCTTGCACCCGTCGTTCGTTCTATCTTTTCAGCCTTGTGTCCCGCTAGCTGCCTGCGCCCGATCGCCGCGATGGCTTGCATCCGGTCACCTTTTGGAGCTCACGACGTTATTTGCTCGCCGGTGATGCTGCAGGGCTATGACGCCCGCTCGTTTCCACCTGACTGGCCCTGCGGTGTATAATCTCTCCGCGCAGCGCTCTCTTTCGTTTTGATAGTGATGGATGTTAGGGACTTCGACTTACAGCTTCAACTATGGCAGAAATTACGTCTATAATATCCCATGTCACGTGGGGTTGTCGGCTCTCGCTGGCTCTCTACAGGTTCGGGGCTCTATCTTCAGTAACGAGAGACATGAACCGCATCGCGAGGAATGTGAGCCTATTCTCCTTAACGCTGAAGCATATTGGAGCAACATTTAAAGAGGATGATTCCATGCCTTCTTTAGCGGTTAGTTGGTCTTTCATTCCTCTTTAGATGATTCTCGTATGCTCATACCAGCTCTAGGCGTCTAAAACCATTGAAGAAATTCTCGATCAATGCCAGAACATCTTTAGGGAAATCGAGGCTTTAGTGCCTGTGGATCAACTTCATGAGAAGCATGAAGAAAGTTCAGCATCTTTGGGATTGATTCGAGCATGGAAATGGTCTCTTACCTCCAAGACGCGGATAGATTATCTCGTCGGTTATCTTAAGTCTCTCAAGTTGACACTCTCGGTCATGCTTCAGTCGTTGTATACGGCCAAAATAATCCGATGGACCAGGTGCCTATACATTCTATCCATATCAACACTATTGCAGCTTATGAATATTTCTATAGGACCCATCCAGCAATCTCGCCTGCTAGGATGGCCGAATCTATCCAAAATGAGAAACTCCAAATGGAAATACTCATTATAGAGCAGCAACTCTCCTTATTTTCCGCATCAAAGCTTTACGATGAGCTACGACGAAGCGAGGAGTTTTCAAGTCCACGTCTTCTAGAGAACAATGACACCTCCAACAGCATCATCGTCATTGAGGAACAAACGAAGCTTTCCGCGATGACACCCACTAGTCTCGTCCAGTATCAGGAGTCATCTCTGGCTCAGCTTCCACACAAGGACCCCGAAGAGTTGCCGCAAGTGCTTCTTGTTTCCACTGGACACATTGATCACTTGATTGCCAAATGGACACGGCTCCAGGAAATCTTGGAGGAAATGGACCGCATGCAACGCGAGGCTGAAGAGCAAACAAGGCAGCAACAATACGACCAAAGACAAAATCAGCAACCAACAGTCGAGTCTGATGACACTGATGACCAGCTCGGGGCATTGCCTGGCGTCAAGCGCACTGGACGACGAGTCCCAGCACCTATCCCTCAACGGCCAAGCAGCATCCAGCCGCTTTTCCCGGACTCACCAACACTCCCGATACCAGTTCCGGATATCAGATTTGGCTCGACAGCACCTATATCTCCGCCTTCATCGCAATATGGCGTTTCTCCTAGATCATCAGGGATCTTAGCAACGTCGCCCAGTCTGCATAGTCAATCTCCACAATCCCCTCGTACAAGTATATCGAGTCTCCCCGTTCGTGCGGCTGCGGCAGTGACGGCGAAAGACGAAGACGAAAGTGCAGACTTGCAAATTCCGTGGCGAATATGTGTAAAGAGACTGTACTGGGAATATATCGACGGTAAGGTTGTACGATCTAACACGGAGCTTCCAGCATCGACGCCTTTCACTGATCGAAATTCCTGGACGGAGATTCTGGCTTCCTGGGTTTGTAAGGAAGCCTTAAAAGAAGGAGGATACGACTACACACAGATAAAGAAGGAGCGGAATGAAGGAGGACGCACAAAACTCGAGACCGCCTTTTCAATTCCTCGTCCACTCACCTTTGTAAGCCACCCCCTATCCTATAAAACTAAAGCAATGCTGATAGATGTTTCAAGGCTGAAGTCGAATATCTCGTCGAGCGAACAGTAGAAATGTATCGCCAACGCCAACGGCCCCGTTCACCCAAACGTCGCTCGTCTTCCTCTTCGAATACTCAGCACTACCCCGTCCAACCGCGGATTCCCAGCGCTGCAGACCGTACACCTCGTCCTTTTCCACCACCAATCCAGACACACCCACCCCCACTGGACCGCGCAACTACGTTCCCCGGGCCGAATCCGAACTACAACCCCTTCTCATACAGTCCTGCTTCACTGAACGTGCAGCATCAATCATACCCAGCCCCTTACGCACCACACTACAACCAAGCACCGCCAACGCCCCGTTCCGCGCACCAGGGAACGTCCTTCAGCAATGATTCTCCGCGGTCGAGTACGCATAATCATGTATCATCGTACTCGACGTCTCATCTTGACGTCTCCACTACCTCCGATAGTGATGTGCCGGCTAAGCCAAAAAGTCGGCGAAGCTCGAGCGGCAGCAGGCGAAGGCCAAGTTCTAGTGGAAGGAGGAGCGTCGGGAGCAGTGCGGTGGGGACCTTAGCGAAGGTGGGAGGGCTGGCAGTGCTGTTGGATGGGATCGTGTAGCGGGGGCACTTTTGGATTAGACATTCATAGCGGGAGCAAGCGGAATTTGTAAGGTTTAATAATAAACAAAAGGATAACAGTACTAGCTTTGATTACTTTACGCATGGTGCTAAGCATGATGGTTAAAGGTAACCAGTAAAGTAAGTGTATAATCAGGAGCTATCTATCTCTAATACCAAGGCACAGAGTAGAGTAGATAGTAGAAACTTGCGAGTTAAAGTTCACTTTACAGGGCGCTAACCACAGCCAGTAATTATGCTAGTTGGCACAAGGGAGCATAAGAGGAGGTGTATAATCTATAGATGCAGACAATAGCCTATTAAGAAGGAGCACCTTAGTTATCACCCCCCCTTTCTTTGCGTATCACCCCCCTTTTCTCTGCGTGTCACCCCCCCTATATTAGGCCTAGCTCCGGCCCGTATAAATATTGTTCCACCAATCAAACTCACCCGCTTGCCTCCGTGTCGACTGCGTAAAATGGAGAGTATGCATCACAAAACGGAAAGGCTGTATTATAGGCTGCATCATCTAGGCCAATAGGAGTCTATTCGCTCTATCTACTCTAGCTACTCTACTCTAGCTACTCTAC